ATGTTTTGAAATGCAATTCTACATCATGTTTGCTATTTTAATTCAAATTCAGGAACTGAATTGTAGTTCAAAAGGCATTTTCAGGTCAGTTCTGTCACAGTCATTACTTTGTGTTGGTGTGCAAAGTCTTGATGACATTGAAGAGGGTGTGGTTTTTGTTTTCAATACAAACGAGTTTGTTGTGCTTATTTACATTTATACAGACTACGTCCTTATCTAATTGTGTTTTTTTCACTCTTACAGAGGCGATTCTGGGAGGAGTACCAGCGTGAAAGTAGCCCCAGGCCTGGAGGACTGGAGTCCATCGCCGGTGGCGTTCATTCCCTGTACCTGATCTTACCCCTGCTGCTGGTTTTGCTGCTCATTGCTGCAGTTTCCATCACAGTTTGGAGATGCCACTCACGCAAAAGATCCCAGCAGAGTCCTGCCATTGGGCGCCCACAAAGAGACACAACCCTATCAGTGGTGTCAATGGACCAGTGGGGTCGGGACTACCATCCTGACATCAGTCCTCACTCAGAGATCAGTGCCCACAGTAGCCCTGCCTACCCAGGTGCTGACCTCACACCTGGGCGGGGCAGTCGGGGTGACCCGCCCCCTTCATACGAGGAAGCTGTGGGCCATACAGATGTACAGATTGAAGCAGAGCCTCCACCACAATATGAAGACATCATCAGTAACCACGGTAACACTGTTATCATCTCCCAGGGAAAGTGACGGATCTTCCAGGCATGTTATCCAGCCTCATGTAGGGATGCATTTTGATACCAATACTGTAAACGCTGTCATTCCTTACTCGCTGTGTCTCTCTTCTCTTTTATAGCTAATGTTTTTATGGGATGTGAACATGCTTTGGCCGTTTATTTTTAAGTACTAGAAGTATTTTTGTACAACTTCACTACTACAATGACAGGCTTTTCAACTCCAGCACTAGCAAAACAGCTAAACTTCTTTACTTAATGTGAAGAGAAAACAACTTATGCAATAACATTATTCTTAGTACCGTTACGTTGTTAAACATTGAATTGCTTTGATTTCAGAGATGTTCGTAGAACTCATAATAGCATGAATCCAATGACAAAGTACTGTAATGTCATTAGCCATTCTTCCAAGTTAGTAAGTCCTATGAGTGTCAGAACATCTTAGAAATGAACTGAATATTTGGTCAGTTGTGGCCTCTCATGGGACAACTAAATAATAAACTAAATAATCAGTTTCAGAGGAAAAAATGCACAATATTTTCAGGAAGTTGTACATTTTAATGTTTACTGACATTCTGTACTTCAAGGTTCATTGTAACCTTTATCAATAGCCATCTAAGCTTAGGCTATCTGTATAGAATTGCATAGACGACGTCACTATGCACTGGACTCACAACCTCAATGAAATATTGATATTGGGTTGATTTTTCTTTTCCACTAGTTGAGGTGTTAAACACTGTGTGTGTTAGATTTGGTTAGCATGTTGGAAACATTTCAGCTAAATGGATAACCTGTTAACAGTGTGAATTTGCTGATAATACATTGCTGATAACATTGACCAAACAAATTCAATCCTGATTTTATGTAGCATCGTGGTTGTTAATGATGAATCTGACTAAGTGGGCACTAAGTCAACGTGTGTGAGGTTTTGCATTTCGGAAAATACAATACTGAAAGGAGTAGTTCGCTCAAAAATGAAAATTTGCTGAATATTTACTCACCCTCATTCTATTCAAGATGTTGATGAGTTTGTTTCTTCAATGGAACAGATTTGGAGAAATTTAGCATTACATCGCTTGCAGTGAATGGGTGCAGTAAGAATGAGAGTCCAAACAGCTGATAAAAAAACATCACAATAATCCACATGACTGTAGTCCATCAGTTAACATCTTGTGCAGTGAAAAGCTGCATGTTTGTAAGAAACAAATCCATCATTAAGATGTTTTTACACCATTGCTTCTGGCCAAAATACCAGTCCTCAATCCATAATAAGAAAAATTCCAGTGAAAAATTCTGACGGCACCCATTCACTGCAGAGGATCCATTGATGAGCAAGCGATGTAATGCTACATTTCTCCAAATCTGTTGTGATGAAGAAACAAACTAATCTATGGCTTGTGAGTACATTTTCAGCAAAGTTTCATTTTTGGGTGAACTATTCCTTGAACTGTTGTATTGTGTAAGTGTGGTTTGAGGTTTGCCATTTCATTCGAGCCACAATGAGTTCAATGGCAAAACATGGTAGACTAAATGGTCTATGCAACTGTGCTTTCTTTTCTCTCCATAGCTTTGGAGCAATTTACATGGTCACAGCCTTGTGAAATTTATTCTTATTGTGGCCAAGGATTAAACGGGCATATTAAGCATCCCAAGCTGGGAATTCTAGGACAAGCAAGATGAATTGTCCATTGTGGAGGTAATTAATAAGGAGCAAGAAGCATGCTTTTTGTGCGCAGCTGCGTTGAGCTGTGTGCAGACTCTTTTTTAGATTGGTTTTAGGGTAAATAACTTGTGTTTTGTTTCTCTAACCTCTTAGAGAATGTCGAGAAATAACAATTATGACTACCTTTACCATGCTGGTTGTTTTTAACTGAATTCTGGTATATTTTTAATGTGTTGAAGGCTGTTTTTTACACATGGTTTGATTGTTTGAAACAGTAGTTCGATTCAACCCTTTTGCTTTCACACTGTGGTTTTAGGTCAGAATTGCGGTATGTTTGCATTTACAATGCAAGTGCTAGTGGCAACTGAGTAACACTATAAATACAGTGTGCTACAAAGCATAACTCTCCTCCCACGACAAATGACATTTTGCTAACACTTTAACCTGACACCTTTTATTATATTATAAAGGTATTCATAATGTACATTGTAAAGCATTCTGTATTTTTATAAATAATTGTAACCAAAGTTCAAAAGCATTACAATATTTGCAGATTCCTTGTTACATCTAAAATTGGTAGTTTGTCATGTTTTAATACATAATATTTTCAAAAAGTGTAACAATGAATAGTATTGTGGTTACAATTATTCATGAGATCATACAGTGGATTTTAACACATATATATATATATATATATATATATATATATATATATGC